AGGAATGTAATTAATATAAAAGCAAAGCAAAAAAAAAAAAAGAGAAAGCATGAAGCAGAAGTAAAAAGACAGAGGAGTATGTTGTGGGAGTTTTGAATTACAATAGCTAATTAACAGTTCAATACTATTACTAACCATACTTTGGAGTAGGTGGCATCTGATAGCTTTTCAGCATCTTACTAATATTTTTGCTTCTGTTGCTGCTGAGGGACCACCCTTCTGTTACCAGCCTTTGATGCAATAACACATATAAGAAATGAAAGGTCAGGACCTATTATCTTTGAGCAGACTGTAACATCGAAGTTGCTTTTAATGTTACTGATATTGTCCTTGCACTACACCCTCATTTCTCTCTTTCTACAACAGTAAGTAATGTATGCCAAACTCCCACATTCTCTCTACTCAGATCCCAATGAAGCTTAGAGAATTCTTTAAATATCAGAAATATACTCAAAGAGAGTACTACAAAATATGATGCCCTGCTTCAGTTTATACCCACTAATATCCCTGCTTCAGTTTCAAGCCAGGTTCTCCCTTGTTACCCCACTGCCGTTGAGAGGGCTACAGGACCGGCTGTCACCTTTCAAACGAACATCAAAGCAGCCATTTCAATCCATATAAACAAGTGTCACACACCTGCATGGTCATGGGTCCCGGAGGCATCTGAGAACCGTAATTCATGCCCATCATGCCCGGCATATTGGACTGCATGACAGAAACCATCGGAAATCCTTGCTGTTGCATAGGAATCATCCCTACAACAAAACATTAAACGAGGTAAGCTCCCCGACAGTGCTACAGTTTGCTTTTTTGATTTTGTTTTTTCAATTAAACCCATACAGCAAAGGAAGGGAAAAACCTCCCAGTCTTGCTGGACTGTTTCATAAATAAAAAACATACAACACTGCAGGCAGTCAGAGAATTTCCTTAGGTTAGGTGTTGGCCAGTCTAATGGAAGAAATATTATGGGGTTTCCCCAATAACTAAGCTGATGAATCCCTCCACCATCCTGCAGATTCTCTGTGGGTTTCTTCACATCTTATTTCAGAAGGGTCATTTCCAACCGTAACGAGATTTAATTGACCAGGTTGACAGGCATTGATAATTCCCCATTTCTCTTGAAAGGGGAACTTATAAATTAGTATCTTTTGATACAGGAGATAAACTCATATCGTTTTCACAATGAAACTTTCACATTCTAAGCTGGCTGAGTAGATTAGTTAGACCACTACCTAAAAGATTTATCAGTAAAAGCTAAACTTTAACAGAATTGGACAAATCAAGCTGGAACGTATTAATTCACTGAATAAAGCCAAATGGATTATGTTTCAGTATTTTCTCATCTCACATTTTTGCTATCTTGGAGGACACATACTAATAGAAAATACACGCGTTACCAGTATTCTGAGATAACTGTAACTGTGCATAACTTAATATCATAGGTTAAAGCACTCCAGGAGTGACATGACACACGCAGGATCCACAAATCAGTCCCTGAGAAATGGTGTTTTTTCAGAAAATTCTCTCCTCCCCCTACAAGTTCTCTCCGCATTTTCCATTAATTAAACAAACAGCACTGAAACAGGAATGAGAACAAAGGCAATTTAAGGCTGAGGCTCTCCTATTGTATTAATACTTTCCACATAGGTTGCGCCTCTTATCCCAGGGTCTTGCTGTGCTTTGTAAATATTTACCAGGTCTTGCAACACCCACACAACATGGGCATACAGAGCTGGTAGATGAAGCATAAAGAGGTTAAATACTACGTTCAAAATAACAAAAAAATCTTACAGGCAAATTCAGGTTCAAAATGGAGTTCTAACTCCTAGATCTTTAATCTAGCATTCTGGTAATAGCGCTTCTTCAACGTTATATATAGTAAGTTTTACAAATAACGTTGCAAGATTCAGCTTACAGGTACTGGATCGAAGCGGAAAAACAGCTGAGTTCACTTAATAGTCACATTTCTGAGCATCAGCACAGAACAGAAATTACTTTGTATAATGTATCTAAACAAAGGAAAGAACTTAGTGCTCAGAACCTGAAATTCATACATACCTTGAGGAGGGCCTAAACCGCCTGCTACAGGAAACATGAAGCTGGGGAGGGAAGGGGAGGAGAGAAGGTATGTAAGAATCAGTAATTTTAATGCAACTTCTCTACATAAATGACTGCAAAAGCTGACTTACACGTCAACACCACCACCAAACTCTCCTATCTTCTGGTCAGCATATTCATCTGCAACTGCAGATTTCACAGAACAGGACATGCCTACATTATGGAAAAAGCCATCCCTCCCAGGGATCCTCAGTGGAGATCCTTCAAAATGACGGAAGAGTTGCACTGACATTGTCAATATTGTCGCAGGCAGCAAAACTAAGGAGAAATAGATCTCACCTGCTGTAATACTACTAAAATGATTTTAACTCATCCATATTACCCTTCAAAGAGTTTTCAGCACCTTTACAAACATGGGCTAGGCCTTCAAGAACTGCAGAATGAATAAGCATCTCCTGCTGGAGGTATCTGATTCAGCTAGATCATTAACTGCATCAGAAAATAGTTCTCAGCTGCTTAGGAACAGTTTTTCTGTAGAGAAATAAATTATCCAACAGTAACTAACAGTAAGTATCATAAAATAATGTCTTTTGTATTTTCTCAATTACATCTAATTAGAAGAAAGGTAGTGGAAAATGGAAAAAAACATTCATACAAGTATCAAGGACTAAGCACACTTGAAGGAAGAACTTAAAAATTCAGCTGAAATTATAATGGCAATTACTAGCCCTCACTTTGAAATGAAAGCATGTGCTGTGCTGCCAAACAGGAAAAAAGACCTAGTTTAGAGGTCTCATTTGCAAGCAACTCTCAGAAACATATGTCAGCAGTAATTTACCAAATGAGAACTTCATTCAATGTCCCAGCCAGCTATTACATCAAAATACTATGCAAAGAAATATATTTATAGCTATTCAATAACCCTCAGCACAAGGGTGGATTTAAAAGAAACTACCTAAAGAGCAAAAGAGAAATGCTATCGTAAATGACTGCAGATAGTTTTAACAAACCTTCAGTAAACTCAGAAAGACATCCTGATTTATAAACGTAAGAGTTGTGCAATAAGAGTACCAAGATAAAATAAGGAATTCGGCTTGTAGATAAACACACAATTTAATTGCAGCTACCTGTACTATAGACAGCAGGTTACATGGCCACCAAGACAATTTACATTACTCTTCATTTCATCCTTTAACTTGGAATCTTTTTAATGCCTTGGCTTTTTCTTTTGCCCTAACCACCAGGATACACATTAATTTCCCCTTCCATAACTAATACACGCTTCTGTGTTCCAACAGGCTCAGATCTTATCATTCTTAATCACCACAATTTTCAGTTTCTATATTTGAAACACTGGGTAGGTGCACCCTATCTGACCTCAAAACAACCGCTGGGACTATCTAGTCTGTTTGAACTGAATCCCATCCAAACTGTGACCAAAAAATATTCAGTTGATGGGTCTTCAGTTTGGTTGTTTTAATCCACTTCTTAGCATACAAGTATTAATATCATGAAGACAAATAGCTGACTTGAAAAATCTTAGATGGACCCATGACCGATCGCCCATCTCAGTCAGAAAGGTGGTTTTGTCCACTCAAGGACCGAAGTCCAGCCAGCTCACTGGATTCTGCCTGCATTGGATTTCACCTATGGAAATAGTTCTTCTGTCACCTGTCAGTAAAGAGTGCCACCTTGGTAACACATCCTCTTAAAACGCGTGTAATTTCAGATGTATGGGAGTTTTTGCCACAGGTCAGACCCACAAGTGCAACAATTTTAGGTATCATAAAAAACACACATTTGTTTCTTGAGAATTACAAAACAGTAAAAGTTAAATTTTAAAAGCTCACAAGTATCAAAGGGTATTCTCAGTTTCATGTTTTCCCTTCTCCATGGGGAATCTGGTCATAGAAACAAGAATTCTTCCGAATTAGCAAACGTAATGTCATCTAAACAAGCGCTGCAAGGTACCATTGCTTGTTGGAAAGCAAATAAAGGCCAGACTATTAAATATTTATCCCTTTCTACAGAACTCCTGATTTATTTATAAGTCTTTGATGAAAAAAAAAAAAAAACCAAAAATGGCAGCTAATTAGAGGAGACTGAAAGAAGAACTAGTTAAACAAAAGCAGCAAAGCAAGCTTCTTTAACACAGTATTGTGTGCGTGCAGCTAGGATCCATCACAGACCTCACCCCAAGATTTAGCTATGCATTTGCCTCGATTAGCTACAAAAGCACATATATAATTCCCCATGAGTTGCTTTATTCAAGCAACATAAGCTTTATTTCTACACTACTTTTCAGAGATTAAAAAAAGAAATGGTATATCTACACACGTCAAGTTAGAGCAACTGATTTTCATCACTGAAAAAAAGTTGTCATAGTAAGTTCTTAGATAAAATTGAAGCACTATAGAAAATTACCGAACTTGAATTACTATATATTGATAGGATCACTATCTTAAGTAACTTTCTTTTAAAGGAGACTTTTTAATTCCAGGTATCTCAAAATAATACTGACAAGAGAATTACACAATAAGCAGAGACTTTGGGAAAAGAGAAAATACACCTGTGGACATTTCTGTTTTTCTCAACAGCAGAAGCGCTTGACCACCTAGGTTCACGCAACCAGCTGTAATGCTTTGGGTAACACAGTAAAAAAAAAAAATGTAATTGTGCAGTGTTTACCATAAGGAAAACAAAGTAACCTGGTTAGAGTAGAATTCTCAAAGTAGTAATATAAATCTGCAAATTTCTATCAGATAAGTATCTTAGATACGGAGCTTCAAAAAAGTCAGCTTCATTCAGAAAAGCAAGAGTGCGGGGAGAAGCAGCTCCTTTTCTGCATTCCTATTTTATTGCAAAAGCTCTGAACTACACATAACATTTTCCCATCTGCAACTGGATGTTTAAATCTCCTAATTCCTTGTGAGAACAATTCTATCAACACAATACAGACTAAGTCAGAGTATTTTTCAATGTCAAATTTCTACCCAGAAGTCCACAATAATGAAAGTGAAACGAAGCAAAGCAAAGCAAAGCAAAACACAACACACACACACACAGAAAGAAGCTTTTCCCCTACTTCCAGTCTTCAAACGCAAAAAACCCACAACATTAACAATGAGAAGCAAGGATTTTAAAATCCTTTTATTTTTCAAAATCTAGAGTTTATTGACAGTTTTTGTTACTTGTTTTAATCACATATGCTTGCTAAGTAGATAGTGTTGCTCCAAGAGAAGGATGGTTTATCCAGCAGCTTGAAAGAACTGTTTCAGATTTATATATCTATGGTGAAATACAAAGATAGCCTCCTATCCCTTCCAAAACATGCATATGCACAAGTATATACTTGAGCTTTTCTCTTCCCAAATGCTTTGCAAACTCTATTCCCAGAGCACCTATGATGCCTACTAATAAATGCAGAGCAGCAACCTGGCTAAAGACAGCTAAAGAAAAGCTCCCTACACACATGCACGCACGTTTCCAGCAAAGGTCGCCACAGCACAGACCTTCCCTCGCTGAATTTACGCTAACACAGACAAAACGGTACGTTCTGGGTATCCAAGAGGAGTCAACGAATTTAAATTCCTGTTGCCAAAGCACAATTTACCCAACTCTGTCCTTCCGTAAAAGTAGGACAGTAGATAAACAGCACAGAAGAGCCCAGGTTAAAATACATATATATATAACTAAATCTTCAGTTACAAAGGCCACAAAATACAAAGCTTCTTATCCTTCACAAGTCACAGTGACTTGTTAACACGTCTCATTTCCCAGCGTGTCTTTCTCCTGACACCATTCCTCAATCCCCGACTTTCCCTAAAGTGCCCTTTGCGGGAAGGAGGAGGGAAGGGGCCGTTGCCAGGACAGCTGCGCGGGGGCAGACCCCCGCGCCCACGAGCGACGGTTACCGCTGCCAAAGCCTCCGGCCTCCAAAGAGCGCTCGCGAGCCACGCAAACCCCTTTCTGCCCCAATTATCGAGGCAGCAGCTGCGGAGCTGGAATAGCCAAGCGGGTCACCACTGCCGCAGTTTGGGAACCACTGCCTGAACCCAAGGGGTGGGGGGGCAGGGGAGGATACGGCGGG